TTTTTTGCCAGAGTTCTTTTGGCTATAGAACTAACCTTGTAAGCCTTGTGCATATAAAATATCCAGCAGTAATTTTCATTATTCAACAGTATTTTACATGCACACAAGTCAAATTACTGTTTTGTTGTTATTTCTACACAAGTCATCTTACTAAATAAAGGATGAGCTATTTTGTCATACAGCATCAGAGGAGGCAAAGTGAGCCAACTAGGCATTTAACAGGTTTCATAATGGCTTACTCTATGTTGAAATCTAAATAAATATAAAACATTAAGATCAGTCAAGAAATATAGCAATTCAAAAGCAACTATAACATTAGGACTAAGTAAGTAAGTAAGCCTCCAGAGTAGCTGGGATTACAGGCGTGCCACAACTACCACCTGGCTAATTTTTGCATTTTTAGTAGAGACGGGGTTTCTTCTTGTTGGTCAGGCTGGTCTCTAACTCCTGACCTCAAATAATCCACACCCCTCAGGCTCCCAAAGTGCTGGGATTACAGGCATGAGCCACCGTGCCTGGCCTACAGTGCCAACTATTTCATATCACCTATCCTATTTAATGAGTATATGGCCACAACAAATAATCAAGGCAAAAAATAACACACCACAGATGATAGTGATTAAAGTGTTATTTTTTCATTTGACTAGAACTTACCTTCTCTCACATCCTTTTGGCACTTTTCTTTGAACTTTTGCTCATTCTGCTTCCCTTACTTGAACTGCTTTCCAACCTACCTCCAAACATTTCTTCTTGCATTCTGAAAGATCCTCATTAATCATTCTAACCATTACTCTCTGCTTTGCTTTTAAAGTACTCTGTACTATAATAACATTTGAGCTCTTCTACTTCACTATATTATGTTACAAAGCCCTTGGAAAGCAGGAGTCCTATTCAGATTTTTCTCTCATAACATCCTGCACAGTGTACAAATATAGCACACAGTACACAAATATAATAAACAGTGTAAAAATATAGTAGGCTTTCCTGGAAAATCTAATTCAACAAAAACTAAATTTGTGATGCTGAAGCAAAATATTCAGTACTCTTGTAACAAAAGAAAGGATATTGGGGGCTGGGAGACATTAAGTTTCAGATAGGAACAGCAGAGAACAATCAATACCGTTGGCAAAGTGACTTTGGAAATGGCAAACCAAGGCAGCTAGGTAAAAGGAAATTTAATTTAGAGAAAGGTAAACCTAAAGTTTCAACAAGGACAGATTAAAACCTATTTAATCTTAACAAGGCAACAATGATTAAACATAAGTAAATAAAAGAAAAGCCTATCTTGGCCTTTATTTGAAACATACAAAATTTCTCGTAAAGATCCTATATTATCTCAAAATCTTTACTGGCCATCAAATTTTCAATCATTTTAGTCTGGCTTTTGCAAACATCATTATTAAACTTATTTTCCCTACAACCACCAATGACCTTCTAATTACCAAATCCCAAGTCCCACTCTCAATCTTTTATACTGGTCACACTGACAAGGTTGAAAAACTCATCTTCCCTTGGTTTTCAGGCTTAGAAAGTCCAGGGTGTCCTCCATCTAATGACCAATCACTTTCAGTCTCCTTTGCTAGATCTTGCTTCTTTATCCCTTGTTGGAATCTTCCAGGGTTCTGTCAGAGGCCCTTAATGTAATTGTTCTTTTACTTAATAAACTTATCCTACCAGACTGAACCCATTCCCATGGTTTTAGGTACCACTTAGATGATACTGACTTCCAAATCTCTTCAGAGCTTCAGATTCACATTTCCTTTTGCCTGCTGGACATCTCCAGATGGCTGTTTAATCTAAAATGTCCTAGAGTGAACTCATTTCTCAATCCCAAGATGCCCATATTCCTCATTAGATCATCTAATTTTTTTTTTTTTTTTTTTTTTGAGATGGAGTCTCACTCTGTTGCCCAGGCTGGGGTGCAGTGGTACGATCTCCACTCACTGTAATCTCCACCTCCCGAGTTCAAGTGATTCTGCTGCCTCAGCCTCCTGAGTAGCTGGGATTATAGGTACACGCCACCACATCCAGCTAATTTTATACTATGGAGAGTTTATAAGGAGAGTTCCAAACTTATAACTGAAGTAGATGTAAGTTATAAACCTCAAATGTGCCCATCACTGACCTTGAATTATCATCAACTCAATTCATGACCAATCTTGCTTCATCTATACTCCTATCCATTTTTTTTCCTTTGTTTTATTGAGGAAAATCCTAGGTGTTCTATTTTATTTGTAAATATTTTAGTATTTCTAAAATATAATGATTTTAATATGTCATTATCACACTTAAAAATTAGTATTTCTTTAATATCAAACATCTAGTAAGCACTAACATTTCCAATTATCTCATAAACCTCATATTTAAAAAAATTACATTTTTTTTTTTTTTTTTTTTTTTTTTTNCTCACTGCAACCTCCAACCCCTGGGTTCAAGCAATTCTTCCACCTCAGCCTCCTGAGTAGCTGGGACCACAGTCACGTGCCACCACACCCGGCTAATTTTTGTATTTTTAGTAGAGACAGGGTTTCACCACGTTGGCCAGGATGGTCTCGATCTCTTGACTTCGAGATCCATCCCCCTTCAGCCTCCCAAAGTGCTGGGATTACAGGCAGGAGCCACCACGCCCGGCATAAATTTTTTTTTTTTTTGGTAGAGACAAGGTCTTGTTATATTGGTCTGTCTTAAACTCCTGACCTCAAGTGATCCTCCTGCTTCAGCCTCCCAAATTGCTGGGGATTACAGGTGTTAGTCACTGTGCCTGGCCTCATATTTTTGAAACATATAAAATAATAGTATATATTGTTTAGGGATAAACATAGATAGTAAATATAGAAAGAAGTGCATGGAACTAAAAAGCACCAAATTCAGCCTTGTAGTAAGTTCCATGGGAGACAGAATAGAGAACATCATGAGGGAGGGTTTGCAAGAAGTTTTAAGTGTATTTATTTTTTTAAAGCTGGGTGGTAGATACATGGGGGTATATTATATTACACGTTGTAATTCCTTATATGTGGAAATATTTCATAATAAAATTTTTATTAATTGCAATCTTTAAAAATATGTTACACTCTTGCTTTAAAGCCTCTATTAGCTCTCTGATATTTTGAAGTTAACATCCAAACTCTAGCTTGGTATAAAGGCCCTTCAATGTCTGGCTATAACCTTCTTTTCCAATCCCAGTTCCTACCAATGCCCTCTGCTTCAAGGTTCATATCTAATTCCACTTCTGCTAGAAAGTCAAAATGAAGTATAAAAAAGTTAAGAGGTATGTAAAAAGCCTGTAGGACATACTTAAGTATAACTCTCTTATTTTAGGGAGAAAGTAATACACAATAGGAAAGATTTAAACATTGGGGTAGAGATAAATTTTTAAAACCTTCTAAAACAAATGTTACCCTCATTTCTTCTTTGTTGGAATATTTCACAGAATGGCATTTTTACATTTCATAGAGAGGAACAAGAAATAAGAAATTCAGTATCTTAAATTTGGATATAAATTGCTTAAATGCAGAAGGAAGATACGGCACTTGAGTGACTTCTATCTCCAGAATTATTTTTATTTGCTAATACAGAACTCATCTGAGCCACTCAACAACAGGACAAAAAGTAGATCAGGAGTCAGACAATCCAGGTTGAAATCTTGGCTCTATTGCTTCTAGTTGTGGGAAAAGCTCAGAAGTTAATAGGCTTAATTGAGAAAGCATTGATACACACAAAGTAGCAGAGGAGAGCAAAGCTCAATCTCCTCACTCCTACAGCACTGATTTTAAATACCAAAATACCACAATGGCTCAAAGATCTGAGAACATTTTACCCCATAATTTGCATGACCATTATTCTTTCTAATATAAAATGATGTCTCATGCTCAATAACTTACCATGTTTAGTAATTCGGGGCCCTTGACAGATATAAAATTTAGTCCAGACTCATTCGCAACAGCCTAGCGAGAGGAAACAGGACACAAATAAGGCAAATACACAATAAGATAATAATAATAATATAATGATGTGTGACAATGCAAGGACTTTGTGTGGTCTTAAGTCTGCATCTCCCTTTTTATATTAATAGTTACCTCTTTCTTATTAGTGGCTCACGCCTATAATCCCAACACTTTGGGAGGCCAAGGTGGGTGGATCATCTGAGGTCAGGAGTTCGAGATCAGCCTGATCAATGTGGCGAAAGCCCATCTCTACTAAAAATACAAAAATTAGCTGGGTGTGGTGGCGTGAGCCTACAGTCTCAGCTGCTTGGGAGGCTGACACAGAAGAACTGCTTGTACCCAGGAGGCAGAGGTTGCAGTGAGCCCAGACTGCATGCACCACTGCACTCCAGCCTGGGCGACAGAGCACGACTCTGTCTCAAAAAACAAATAAAAAATTACAGCTACCAGATACCCACAGATAAAAGGGAAGAATTAATAAAAAGAATGAATGGAGAGAGGCAGAACAAAACAAAAAAAAAAAAAAAAAAGGGAAAAAGACAAATAAATGGGAAAGGGGGAATGGATAAAGAGAAAAATCAAAGGAAATGTTAACCTACAACTTTAAAAAAAAATTTCACGTTTATTTTTTTTTTTTTGGCAGAGTCTTGCCGTTTCCCAGGCTGGAGTACAGTAGTGAGGTCACAGCACACTGCAGTCTAAACCTCCCAGGTTTAGGCAATCTTCTTACCTCAGCCTTCTGAGGAGCCAGGACTACAGGAGTATGCCACCACACTCAGCTAATTTTTGTATTTTTTTGGTAGAGGCAGGGTTTTGTCACATTGCCCAGGTCGAACCCGATGACTTTCTAAGAATTACTAAGGCTACAAATCAATGGAAATGACACAAATATTTATGTGAACATTTGTTTACATAAACATGCTTATGTAAATACATTTATAGTCCTAGTTTGGCATTCCGGTGAAATACTAGTCTCTGTACTCAAGAAATACCTCATGGGATGAAAGTAATCATTCATTCATTTACAAACGAAAAATTAAAGACATCAGTATCAGGCTGTATAGTTGTATGTGTAGGAGAGTCTAAGAATTACAATCTGAATGCAGAGGTGAAACCTGAATAAAATCAATTAGAACTTCAAAATAATCAGGGAAGAGTTCTTTCCCACTCTTAGAACCTGGTATTTGAGCTCCCGATCTGTTCCACTTATTCCACAGCATCACCACTTGGATTACACAAGCATTTCAAACCTATCACTTCCAAAACTGGACTCCTGATTCTTACTATCCCAACCCTCTCCAACCCCCAACCTCTGCCTCCCAGGCTCAAGCAATTCTCCCAGCTCAGCCTCCCAAGTTGCTGGGACTACAGGTGCACACCACTATGCCCGGCTAATTTTTGTATTCTTTGTAGTGATGAAATTTTGCCAAGTTGCTCAAGCTGGTCTTGAACTCCTAAGCTCAGTCATCTGCCCACCTTGGCCTCCCAAAGTGCTGGCATTACAGGCATGAGCCACCGTGCCCCGGCCTCTGTTCTTCTTTCACTCTTGCTTTCTTCCAATCCATTTTCCATATAACAAACAGTCAGAAGACTCTTTCAAAAGTGCAAATGGCATGAGCACCGCTCACTACAGCCTCTGCCTCCCGGGTCCCAGTTCAAGCTATTCTCCTGCCTCAGCCTCCCTAGGAGCTGGGATCACGGGCGTGTGCCACCACGCCCAGCTAATTTTTGTATTTTTAGTACAGACGGGGTTTCACCATGTTGGCCACACTGGTCTCGAACTCCTGACCTCAGGTGGTCCACCCGCCTCAGCTTCCCAAAGTGCTGGGATTATAGGTGTGAGTCACCGCACCCCGCCCAATTTTATTGTTTTACGTTCACTTATTTACTGCTGGCCCCTTGCAGATAGTAAATTCCACTACAGTATGTATCTTGTTCACTAATTTATCCCTAGCACTTCAATTTCTGGCAAAGAATCTTGTGCTTAGTGTCACGAGCTCTGTTTCCATGCTATATACTAGTTCTAGATGAGTAAATGATTTCTACTATATTATTTTCAGTTTCATTCTTATCCATCAACAGTTTTCAGTTTGTTGGCTCCAGTAACTTCATGCCCTGACTTTATGCTAGTTACATACTTAGTATGTGCAGGTGCCAAGAAAAATTGTATTATTTTGTTATCCTGAGTAAACAAAACAATCAAGATCAGCCAAATACCTAATTTTATATGCAACTCTAGGTCTCTAGGTTCTGACCTACGAGTTGTCGCTTAACTTTACTTTAGGTCACACCTTGCACCTGCCATTCAAGGACATTTCTATTTCTGGATTCTTGGGCATGTAGTCTTGCACCCCTTGGAGAACCTGATGAAAGATGTTGTGAACACTCTTCCCCAGAAACAATACATATATACACAATACATTGCCTGGGCTCATAGATCCAGTGAAACTGTAAAATCCAACCGTGGAGTCCTAGGTAAGAGTCCCTGCTCCCACAGATCAGATAAAAGAAACCTGACTAAACAGAGTGGTCCTCAATTGTTGGCAGTTTAGTAGCGGGGAGAAGAGGAGAAATGTGGATCTATGATGTTTTAGTACTATATATGCTTTTCAAGTTGTCCAAGCTACCTCCTTTCTGCTGTGAACAGGACTACTCAAAGGCAGGTGGATCACAAGGTCAAGAGATCGAGACCATCCTGGTCAACATGGTGAAACCCCGTCTCTACTAAAACTACAAAAAATTAGCTGGGCATGGTGGTGCGTGCCTGTAATCCCAGGTACTCAGGAGGTTGAGTCAGGAGAATTGCCCGAACCCAGGAGGCGGAGGTTGCGGTGAGCCGAGATCGCGCCATTGCACTCCAGCCTGGGTAACAAGAGTGAAACTCTGTCTCAAAAAAAAAAAAAAATATTGATATGTAGAAAAAGAAAAAAATATTGATATGTATCAATATATACTGACATGTGAAGATGTTCAGGAAATATAGCTAAGTGAGAAAAATATGTCTAAAAAGCTTATATTTGTAAAAAGGAATGTACAAGTTACTTTGTACAATTACTTTGATATGTATGCACAGAAAAATATCAGAGGGATTGACAATGAAATGAAACAATGGTTAGTAGCAGGTAGTAGTGAGAGAATTATATACAATTCTTTTCCTTTTTGCTTATTATTATTTTCTATTATGAAAAAACAATTTTAGAAAATAATTATAAGAAATATAGACGAAAATATTTAAGTTGTAAACAATAACAATACCAAAGCAGGAAACCAAGTCAGGTAAGAACTAAAACTATGAAATACTACTCACTAAAATGCCAAAACATAATACACAGAAAGTATAATAATTGCTATGTTAAAATTGATGGGATTATGGTTGATCTAAACATTTTTCTTTCTTTCTTTTTTTTTTTTGAGACAGTCTTGCTCTGTCACCCAGGCTGGAGTGCAATGGCGCCATCTTGGCTCACTGCAACCTCTGCCTCCCAGGTTTAAGCAATTCTGCCTCAGCCTCCTGAGTAGCTGGGACTATAGGCGCACCACCATGCCCAGCTAATTTTTTGTGTTTTTGTAGAGACAGGGTTTCACTATGTTACCCAGGATGGCCTTGATCTCCTCACCTCGTGATCTGCCCTCCTTGGCCTCCCAAAGTGCTGGGAATACAGGCCTGAGCCACTGTGCCTGGCCAATCTAAACATTTTTCAATCATGTGCCTTTGTAATTTAAAAAAGTAGGAAACTTTCATGAAGAAAGTTGTTACTTTTGCTAAAATGAACCTCTAATAAAAATCATGCATAAGATTTATTTCACTGTAATACTTAAAGTTATATTCATATTATCCATCTGATAGTAACAAATTACATGCAATTGAACTCATATCATACCTTTGCCAGCAGAGTCTTCCCACAGCCAGGAGGACCAGCAAGGAGCACCCCAGCCGGAGTCACCAATCCAAGAGCTTTGAACTGGTCCGGGTTGCGTACTGGTGCCTAGAAAGAATTACATCAGAACAGATATGGCAATCCACTACATGTCCACTTTATACTGCAGGTTCATATGATCTCTAGATATATATTTTCTCTTTTTTTAGTGTCCTTCTGTCACCCAGGCTGGAGTACAGTGGTGCTATCTCAGCTCACTGCAACTTCTGCCTCCTGGGTTCAAGCAAACCTCCCATCTCAGTGTCCTGAGTAAGTAGGACTACTGGCACATGCCACCATGCCCAGCTAATTTTTATATTTTTGGTAGAGACAGGGTTTCACTATGTTGGCCAGGCTAGTCTTGAACTCCTGACCTCAGGTGATCCACTTGCCTCAGCCTCGCAAAGTGCTGGAATTACAGGCACGAGCCACTGCGTGCAGCCTCTCAGGCATACTTTTAACATGACTGTGAGGCCTGAAGATGTAAAGAGTACCTGGTTTACCTGTTCATGCTCTGTGGTGATAAAAAGAAAAGTCCTTGCGCTTGAGGAATTTATACTTAAACGTAACATCTAAGAACAGCTTAGACATAACGATATAATATTTCAACAAAGATTTTTTAGAAAATAATTTAAATTTATATGTTATAAAATGTTTAGGCAATGGTCTCTAAGAAATGAGATGCAGCAGTAACTTTCGCATAGTTAAAAGCCAAATACCTGTTCACTATAATTCCAGCATATTTTTTATTTCAGTAGTACATACCTCTAAATCCATCATATTTCAATTAATGAACCATGAATGATTAGTAGAAAAGTAAAGTGAGTAAAAATTGGCCAGGCATAGTGGCTCATGCCTGTAATCCTAGCACTTTGGGACACTGAGGTGGGCGGATTGCCTGAGCTCAGGAGTTCGAGACTAGCCTGGGCAACACGGTGAAACCTCATCTCTACTAATACAAAAAATTAGCTGAGCGTGGCAGTGTGCACCTGTAATCCCAGCTACTTGGGAGGCTGAGGCAGGAGAATCACTTGAACCTGGGAGGCGGAGGTTGCAGTGAGCCGAGATGGTGCCACCTGCACTCCAGCCTGGGTGACACAGCGAGACTCTGCCTCCCCTCACCCAAAAAAAAAAGTCAATAAAAATTAATCCAAAGTTTCATGTGCATTAAAACTGCCTTGACCCATAACAGTATTATCAAGTTCAGAAAGTCTTTGTCAAACAATTTGGTCTTGATTGAAAGCATAAGTTTTTTGTTGTTGTTTAAACTCACTGCTATAGAAATGACGCACAACCAAAAGGATCAGCATAAAATAGGTCTCAATGAAATATTATTCAGCCACAAAAATGAATAAAATCCTGTCATTTGCAGCCACATGGATGGAACTAGAGGTCATCATGTTACTGAAATAAACCAGGTACAGAAAGGCAAATATTGCATGTTCTTACTCATAGCGGGAGCTAATAAAGTGGACCTCATGGGGATGGAGAGCAGATTGATGGTTACCAGGGGCTGGGAACGGAAAGCAGAGAGGAAGGAGTATGATAAAGAGAAGTTGGTTAAAGGGGTTAAAAAAACACAGGCTGGGCAAGATGGCTCACACCTGTAATCCCAGCACTTTGGGAAGCCAAGGCAGGTGGATCAAGACCATCCTGGCCAACATGGTGAAACCCCGTCTTAACTAAAATATAAAAAAAAATTAGCCAGGCATGGTAGCACGTGCCTGTTGCCCAGTTACTCGAGAGGCTGAGGCAGGGGAATTGCTTGAACCCAGGAGGTAAAGGTTGTAGTGAGCCAAGATGGCACCACTGCACTCCAGCCTGGCGACAGTGTGCGACTCCTTCTCAAAACACACACACACACACACACACACACACACACACAGAGTTAGGTGTTAGGTTGCTAGGTAGGGGCAATAAGTTCTGGTATTTGATAGCACAGTAGGGAAATATTTCAAAACAGTTAAAAGAAAAAAGCGTATTTCAAAATAGCTAGCAGAAAAAAGTATATTTCAAAATAGCTAGAAGAAAAAAAGTGTAATGTTCCCAACACAAAGAAAACATAAACATTTGAGGTGACAAATATCCCAATTACTGACTTCATCGTTACCCATTTAATACATGTATCAAAATACCATACGTACCCCGAAAATATTTAGAACTATGATACATCAATTAAAAAAAATGAACAAATAAATTGGATCTCAAACAAAAGAAAAACCATTGTGGGGGCACTTGAAAAAAGTGTTATATTCAAGTCAGTTTAGACACAGAACCTAGTACACATGCACGGAGCTTTATCTGTGGTCCTTAATCCATGACATGCCAATAATATTTGGCAGCTGATATACCTACCAATATTGCCATAGTGAGCTCCTCTCTAATGTCTTCCAGGGCACCAATATCTGCCCATGTCACATTAGGGACAGTGACAAAGCCTTCTCTTTTGGCAGAGGGTTGGACTGAGGATAGAGCAACAATGAAATCATTCAGTTCAATGCACAGTCCTTGCATCTGCTCTTCTGAGAGGGGATCTTGGTCTCTTAGCAACCCCAGCAGCCTTTGTAATTCATCCTTGAAGGGAACAATTGAGGGGGAAAAAAATAAAAAACCACCACAACAGTTATTGAAAAGTTACATTTTCTACTTGTTAAAATTATTACCGCAATATTTCTATAATCTATCCTGAACTTCTATATATTTCAATAATTTTCTCTTTGACATGAGACATGTTCATTTTACTCCAAAGGATCATATGCTCTGGTCAAGTAAAGATATACCAATTATAATTAAATATATAAGAATGATTTCTCTATACTATTTTTAGGGCTAAGTATAGCAAATATAAGCAGTTGGCAAATATTCATTTCAGCAACCATGATATTTCCCATGTTTCATTTATAAATATTCAATAAAATTCATCAGCTGAATTCTGATGAAATTAAAACAAAGTTATGTTGGAGGTAGTATAATTCATTAATATGGTTCCTTGATAGTTTATCAACTAAGTAGAGACAAGGCAGTTTTCCTATTACTATCAAATCTTAAACTTATAAGGCAGATATCTTGCTTTGTGAAGAACATGAAAAGACAAGTCTAAAAAACAGGTAATCAATTAATTCAACTTGTAAAATATTAATTTATATGGAATATTTTTTTTTTAATGAAATATGATGGTTTTATATTCCATGCAATATTATAAAAGAAATGAGTTTGTTATATTTTATGGAAGTAATTGCAGTTTCAAATGACTAAGAAAAAAACAAATTATCTGAGAACAAAAGATCTGTATTTAAGCTCCTGCTCTAAAAAGGAGAGGTTGTATGGCCTTGGGCAAATTACAACCTCTCTCTTAAGCTTAGTGTCTTTGATTATAAAATGGGGAAAATAATGGTATTTATATAAGGTCACAGGGATCAAATTATATAACACAGAAGCCATCTGTACAAGCTATAAAATGCTACATATAATTGAGTTTTCATGACTCACAAAATTAAAAAATTTAATACTGATCTTAGACTGATAAATGTCCCCTCTCATTCACATGACTGTCCTCCAGAGCTATCTGCAACTAAGATAAGACCTGGATATTGTTGTGTCAACAGACCATCCTAATCTACCTAACCAAAAGCTAACCAGGAGATATAATTAAATGCCAATGCCAAAACAGGGGTTGACAATCTTTTTCTGTAAAGGACAAGACCGTAAACACTGTAGTCTTTGTGGGCCACGGTCTCTGCTGCAGACTCCTGTGTGAATTCTGCCATGAAATGAAAGCAGAAACAGGCAAGTATACAAATGAACATGGCTGTGTTCCAATATAACTTTAATCTACAAAAACAGGTGGTGGGTGGGTAGGCCACAGTCTGCCAACCCCATTCCAGAATTTCATAATCATTATTGTAAAATAAATTTATTCAGAATAAACTAAACATAAAACAACTCGCATTTCTGAAATTATATATATAAGTGGGTATAACTGATAATTATTTTATGGATTGAATGCCAATAAAACAGGAAATAATAAACCTCAACTATATTGACCCCTGCTTCAATGTAAGATAACACAAAGAACATTAAAAGGACAGCTTAAGGTGCCTTTAGAGAAAACACCTGTGTTTCAGAAGTGGGCTCAGTTCCCAGCCTTTCCTCCTGGACTCCTTTAGATGGCAAATCTTCCATTTCAGGATCTTTCTTCTGCTGCTCCTGTAGCTTCATTAAGACTCTATTGACTGCACACATTGCTGCCTCTCGGCACAGTGCCATCAGATCAGCACCAACAAAGCCTGGAGTTAGGTGTGCTAAGTTACAGAAATCAAAAGCTTGAGGAAGTCTCAGTTTTCTGCACAATGTTTGAAGTATTCTGCAGAAAAGACAGAGAAAAAAATTTCAGATTCCTAATCTAATACTAAAAACAAGTCACCAAATATATTTATTTGAAGTCCTTCACCTCTGCCAATGATATTAAAATGGATACTATACAAGATCAAATAGTTCATTCACTCAACAAATGCTAAGTCATTATTACATGCCCTATCTTATTCCAGAAAGGGTCATGGTAAATATCTGCTTTGTTAGGAGCCATACTAAGTGCTGTGAGGAATACATAGAATTTTAAAAAAATATTTTGCCTTTAAGTATTTACAACATTACAGGTGAAATGAGGTAAATAACTTATGAGCGTACTTTTAGAGTAGATTAAATGGATATCTACCAGAAATAAAAGCCCCCACATTGACACAAACCATTAATTCTCTTCATCATTGAAAATTATCTTGCCATATACTTCCTATTTTATATTAGAACAGTTACTTCTCCAAATTTATCTTTACCTATTGTTCATCCTCTGTACTATACATGTGAAAAATTTTGTTCAACCTAACTGGCAACATGGTATCTATAAAAATCTGGACTTCTAGATAATTGTTATTGAAGGAATACCTTGAACAATTTCTGATAAGACCTACTAAATTAAAACTTAAAAGCAGTAAAGATATTCAGGATGAAGCCAGGTGTGGTAGCTTATAGCGACAATCCCAGCACTTTGGGAGGCTGAGGCAGGCAGATCACCTGAGGTCAGGAGTTTGAGATCAGCCTGGCCAACCAGGCAAAACCCCATCTCAACTAAACATACAAAAATTAGCTGGGCATGGTGGTGGGCACTCGTAATCCCAGCTACATGGGAGACAGAGGTTGCCGTGAGCCAAGATTGTGCCACTGCATTCCAGCCTGGGTGAGAGAGCAAGACTCCATCTGGGAAAAAAAAAAAAATAGATATTCAGGATGAAAGGTCTGAAGCCAAACTGCAAAAGTTTGAATACCGGCTCTATTACCCTTTGTAATCTGGGCCAGTTACTTAATCTTTGTGCTTCAGTTTCTTCATTTAGTAAATCTATATTATAGTAGCACTTATTCAGAGGGTTATTGCTAAAAATGAATACATGCAAAGTACATAAAACAGTGGCTGATCCATAGTTACTGCCCAATGAATGTTAATTGTTATTTACATATTTTGATATTATAAACTAACTTGGACAAGCAAACTGGTATTTTGAAATTAATAAATTTGTAAAGAACACTAATATTTTCAAATGTCAAGCTAATAAAGAATAAATGATAGAAAAATCATTTGGGACCATGTAAGTGAGTGAGCAGAATAGAAGCAGATAAACATTACTGACAATTTTTTAAAAATTTCACTTTGATACTCTGAATAATGGGAATTAAGAAAACTTCACTAAAGAACTATTTCCAAAAGACACACACAATTTGCTATTACGCAAATTTAGACAGGGTTTTGCCATGTTCACCAGGCTGGTCTCAAACTCATGACTTCAGGTGATGCGCCTGCCTCAGCCTCCCAACGTGCTAGGACTATAGGTGGTGAGCCAATGCATACGGTCTAATATTTCACAACATTTCTTAACTAGATTTCTACTCCACCGCCTCAACAGTGCGGTAGACAGTCTTGCTTAAGAAGTTATATTTCGGGTTATTGGTGGATGTTTATTTGCTCTACGGACATTACTCATTTGCTCAATTACTAGGAAAGGATGGTGCTGCAGCAAGCAGCTTTCAACTTTCTGGCTGCCATTTCATTACTGGTAACAGAACCTGTGGTCTCAGGCAGGTTAGTGCAATATGCAATAAAGGTACTCAGATTTTTTTTTTTCTTTCTGCAAGTCTGACTGTCCACACCATAGTACTCACATTTAACCTATATGTGGACCAGGTGGCACTGCTGTATTCCATAGCTCCAGACATTGCTGCTAACCTGGTCAGCCAACTAAAGAAAGCAATCCGTTGTTAATTCAGACCAGACAAATGAGTATGGATACCTAAGTCCATTATTACTTCCGAAAAAACAACCCAAAACAATTATCCTACTGATGAGTAAATTGTTTCCTTCTTTTTTACAGAGGTGGGGCCTACCTCTGTCACCCAGGTTGGAGTGCAGCGGTACAATCATAGCTTCCCGTAGCCTCGAACTCGTGGGCTTAAGCAATCCTCCTGTGCTTCAGCCTCCTGAGTAGTAGGACTATAGGTGTGTACCCAGCTAATTTTATTTTCTGTAGAGACAGGGTAGCACTATGTTCCCCAGGCTCAAACTCCTGGCCTCAAATGATCCTCCTGCCTTGGCCTCCCAAAGTGTTGGGACTACAGGCATGAGCCACTGCACCTAGGCATAAATGGCTTTTTTTTTTTTTTTTTGAGACAGAGTCTTACCCTGTCACCAGGCTGGAGTGAATTGGCACAATCTCAGCTCACTGCAACCTCTGCCTCCCAGGTTCAAGCAATTCTCTTCCTCAGCCTCCTGAGTAGCTAGGATTGCAGGTGTGTACCACCAAGCCCTGCTAATTTTTGTATTTTTTAGTAGAGACGGGGTTTCACCATCTTGGCCAGGCTTAAACGGTCTTGAACTCCTGGCCTCAAGATCTACCTGCCTCAGCCTCCCAAAGTGCTGGGATTATAGGTGTGAGCCACTGCACCCGGCCATAAGTGGTTTTCTTAATGTGGGCTTCTCCTTTTTCAAATCAGTTTAACTGGCACAAAAAGAAAGAAAATGGGAGAGAAAGAAAAGGCTACATGGTATTTCTTACTTTCAAAGCATTCAGTTAAGATGACTTAGTGGTATACAAACTTCATGCTATAATATACCTTTCCCTGGATGCTTCATCTGGGATACCTAGGCATATTTCTCGGTCGAACCTTCCAGCACGTCTCAAAGCAGGGTCTAATGAGTCTGGTCGATTAGTAGCTCCAATAACTAGGACCCGGGCTGTAGCAGCCACATTATTCAGATCTAGTAAGAGATAGAGAAGGAGTGGTGAACAAAGCACTTGATATTGAGGGCAATAATGCTTTCAGAAATCATTTCATGGTTGAAGAGAAGGTATTACAGATTTTGACAGCAACATACATATAAAACCAATATTTATTAAATGTCAAATATGTAACAGGTGTGAGGAGGATAAATAAAATACAAACTCTGTCCTCAACAGTTCACAATCTATTGAGAAACACTGAGTGTGTAAATAAAAAAATGGCATAGGACACATTTTGTGAAGTATAATAACAGATGTAAGAAAAGACATGATGAATTCCAACTGAGGAATAAGGGAGGGTCCATGGAAGTGGTAACATTTCAGAAAGGCCTTGAAGGGTAAACAGAATTTTAACAAGCAGATATACAGGTTAGTGGAATTCTACGTAGAAGAAAGAGATGAGTAAAAGCACAGAGGGTCAAGCATGCATGGCACATCCAGGCAAGGTGAGCAGGACAACAACAGGAAGGCTGGGAGGATGCAGGAGTCTGTGTCTCAGAACAGACTGATAAAACTTTTAATTCGAGCAGGGGAATACAAAAGAGTCTTCAGCTGTTCTGGCTTAACCTAGGGATGCATTTCTAGGAATGGGCAAAACTGAGGGCTTAAATCTTATCTTTCTTAAGTATTATTTCTCTCAACTGAACCAGGACTGAACAGCAAGGAGTCTGAGGTTATTCTATCTCACAGGTAACAAGAAGGTAGTAAGATGCTAATTAAATCATGAGGAGTTTATACAGTGTGTCCTTTAGCCAGCAGGGAGCCATAAAAGCTTTTCTCATAATACAGGCCTAAGAGACATGGTAAGAAAATTTTAGATAAAAATAAAACAGAATCCCAGCACATTGGGAGGCTGAGCAGAAAGATCGCTTGAGCAGAAAGATCGCTTGAGCCCAGGAGTTTGAGACAAGCCTGGGCAACATAGTGACAACCTGTCTTTAAAAAAAAAAAAAAACAAAAACAAACAAACAAACAAACAAAAGATCCTGGGCATAGTGGCTCATGCCTGTGATCCCAGCACTTTGGGAGGCTGAGGGCGGTGGATCACCTGAGGCCAGGAGTTTGAGACCAGCCTGGCCAACATGACAAAACCCCGTCTCTACTAAAAATATAAAAATTAGCCAGGTGTAGTGGCATGCACCTATAATCCCAGCTACTTGGGAGGTGAAGCAGGAGAATCATTTGAACCCAGCAGACGGAGGTTGCAGCGAGGTGAGATCATGCCATTGCACTCCAGCCTAGGTGACAGAGTGAGACTCTGTCTCAAAGAAAAAAAAAATGCCAGGCATGGTGGTGCACACTTGGGGTCCCAACTACTTGGGAGGCTTACATGGGAGGATAACTTGAGCCCAGGAGGTCAAGGCTGCAGTGAGATATGATTATGTCACTGCATTCCAGCCTGGGTGACAGAGCAATACTCTATCTCATCAATCAATCGATCAATCAACCAAGCAATCAGAAGAAGCAACGTACAACCTGGTAATGCAAAAACATAAAATATGTACTTCAAATTTTCTTGTGTACACAAAATATGTGCTATTTCTTTTTATTTATTTTTAGAGGTGGGGTGTTGCCATGTTGCCCAGGATGGCCTCAAACTACTAGGCTCAAGCAATCCTCCTCCTTTAGCCTCCCGAAGTGTTAGGATTATAGGTGTGAGCCACTGTGCCCAGTATGACTTTTTTTTTTTTCCACACTATTTGATATTTACTATTTGAATATTTTATATCTTTATGTATTAATTATACTATTTTAAAACATTTATTATCTTAAAATGAATTCATTATTTTAAACTGACCATCCATGCAGGTTAGGAGTTGGGCTACAATTCTTCGTTCCATATCTTTTGAAGCAACTTCTCTTTTGGGTGTAATAGCATCAATTTCATCAATGAAAATGATACATGGTGCATTTGACTGGAAATAAAAATATCACATAAAGACAACCATAAATACATCACCTATACTAAAGCACAGTTAAGCATATACATTTTTTGGAAAATCTTAAAGTTCAAGGATCATTTGCCAAAAGAATAACCCTAAAGAAGCAGTTCACATGTATTACTTCTGATTTTTATCTGACTTAAAAGAACCAAGATGCTTAAAAGTACATAGTAGAGACTGCTGAGAGGGCAACACACTTATAGTGTCTTCATCAATGCATGTTTTGTGATAAATCTACTGAAATTCTTTTGTAAATTAGTCACATTTGTTATGCTATGAAATAGAAACAATGATTTTGAATAAGCATATGCACAAAAAAAATTAAAAACAAGTTTATAAACTTTAAATTAGCAAACCCAAGCTTACGAGAAACGTTAGGAGGGTTTCTACCAACATAAAAATTTCCAAGTCTTTCTCTATGATTTGCTATAAGAGGAAATTTGAGAAGCACCAGAAGCTTTTTAAAAAATGTGTGGTAAAATATACACAAAATTTACCATTCTAACCACTTTGGGTATATAGTTTAGTCGCATTAAATACTTTCAGACTGTTGTATAAACGTTACCACTATCCATCTCCAGAACTTTCTCAGCATCCACACTGAAAAGTACCAGAAGCTTATTTTAAAGACTACATTGAATAAAGAAAGGATGGTAAAGTTCTAATACATCAGTGTAATGATCACCTCCAGTTTTGTTGTTTTGTTTTTAAGAAATAAACTAGATAGCGTTCAGAAAGAATAAATTAAGATGTAACAATCAGCTACCAAGAGTGGTCAAATTCATTGAGACAAAAAGTAGAATGGTGGTGGTGACCAGGGACTGGTGGGAGAGATGAATGGGGAGTTACTGTTTGGGAACCTGAAGACGCTCTGGAAATGGATGGGGGTAATGATTACACAACAATGTGAATGTACTTAATGCCACAGAATTGTACACTCAGAAATGTTAAAATGGCCTTTTCAGCTGGAACTGCCATCTTCCAGTAATTCACCAAAATGATGAACACAAAGAGAAAGAGGAGAGGCACCTGATATTCTCTAGGTCTTTCAGAAAACACAGAGCTGTTCCTTTGGCTATATATATGCGAATCTATAAGAAATGAGATATTGTAGGCTGGGCGCCATGGCTCACGCCTGTAATCCCAGCATTTTGGGAGGCCGAGGAGGGTGGATCACCAGAGGTCAGGAG